AAAAGAACTGTGTCAGAAAACTAACTTAAAAACCTACCATGAGCCCAAGGGCAAAGCACACACACTCTATAAATATTGGTGTGTGTGTGTGTGTGTGTGTGTGTGTGTGTGTGTGTGTGTGTGTGTGTGTGTGTGTGTGTGTGTGTGTGTTTAATGATCCACAAGAGCTTTTTATGTGTCTCCAATTTAACATTTTTCCCAACCGCATGATTATCCCTCTAATAAAGTTAATGAGGCTTTTGGCGACTTTTCATATCTTTTTTTATTTTAGCCCGGAGTCATTTTGACTATTTCAGAACACTGCAGAGTGAAATGCACCACGCTTATTAAAGCAAATACAATTAGAAGAGAGTGAAATACAACAAAAATCATCTGAATTTCCTTTCTTGTTCATCTACATCAGACCTTTCATCCATTATATCAGAGCGACGAGTCCTATTGTTGACAACAGGCCAATGCATCTTCAAATCAATCTGTCCATCTACACATTGTGTCCGTCTGTGCCCTTTAAAGAGAACACAGTGCAATGCTGTAGGAGTCAAACAAAGGAGAGTGCCCACTTCCTGTTTAACACTCGATATGAGATCAGTGGAATAAAGTGGCCGGCTGAAATGCCAACAACGTCAGCGGAAAGTATTCAAAGACGTCTGCTCTGCCCTCTTGGAGGCATGCATTGCATTTCCTGCAGTAACATAACACAGCTGCTGCAAAGTGGACATTTAAAAAAGGAGATGAAGTCAAATCAAAGCCTCGATAACCAGTTTAAATACTTCAGGAAGCATCGGTTTAGTGTAATAATAGAATTAGGGATGATTGATATACACTGCTGGGAAATACTAGAAAAGAAACATGATGATTAAATCGTTTTTAGCATTATTTGTGTTATTGAAAATCTTAATTCGTAAATAAAAACAGACCCGAGAAAGTGTTATATGATATGAAATTGAATGATATTGCTTTTAAAGAATGCTGATTATACTTTCTGTACGAGGAGTTGAAAAGGACGCAAATGGAGAAACACTTTTTCCCCTTATAAGACAATCTATAAATGCTAATTATGTTCCTTCAAATTCAGCCGGATGTCGGAGATTGATATGAAGTTCAAACATGTCCGAAGCAACAGAAGTCTTTTTACAGTGAAAAAAGCCTGTATCTCCTTTCAGCTGGTCTGCTATAACATCAAGAGTCCTGGTTTCCAGATGTGTTTGGGTTCATTCGGGTGACAAAACAAGAGTTAGTAAAAAAGGCCCTTTGCTTAAACACAGCTGTGGAACTCCTCCTGAAGGACTGAGAAACACTCGGGAAGGACGGAAGACCAAAACAACTCCACAACTTTTCAATCCCAGAAGTTCCTTACCGAGTCAGCTCCTCCAAGAGCTGCGTGTGGTCGGGAGGAAAGAACTTCACCACGAAGCGAAGGATGGTGTTTTTAGGTCCTGAAGAAGGAGAAGGAAGGGAGATGATTGATAGGGAAGAGGCCGTGTGAGAGGGAGGAGACGCAAACAAGCACAAACATACTTTCATATATTATAGCTTTTAACCTGGGTTTAATTCGGGAACTAAAAATGTAGCATCATATGTTGTGTTTGTGTCATGCTTACGTCTGAGCTGTTTGAGCGTCGGCTTCAGCAAATCCAGCCACACCTGCAAAACACACAGCTTGGTTTATTTGAACTTCTAAAACATAAAAAAGTGGAATTATAAGAATTTCTTTACTGAAATTCAGCTGTCAGAATGACTTGGTACTTCTGTTAAGCCCCCGTCACACTGTCCCCAAATGTACACCCGATGGACACACGAATATGGAATTGTGAATTTCGCACGAAGATGGCCCCGAACCACACGAAGGCAACATTTACATTACATTAAAAACATACAACTGCAACGAAATTAACAAAAACTATTATATTAAAGTATTATGATACTGTTCTGATATTTTCAGACTTTGTTCTTTACTTTCTCCGTCTTTATGTAGAAGATATTAAGATTTCTCCGTCATGTTGTTTCCATAGCAACAACAACTTCCTCGCCTTCAAAATAATATATTATATCCTTTTCAGTTTCACAGAACACAAATTGGGTTATTTACATAATATGTTTACATGATTTTGTTGTGCAATAAAACAACCAGATGGACACACGATAAAGGAAATGTTCAAATTCGGCTCTGATCGTAACAACATCGGGACATTTGTGATCTTTGGACATGCCAAAGATTTTGCCACCGCTCCCGAAGTTGCTGCCGGAGCCTGATAAATTCCACCGGCGGTCATACGATGGCTTAAGATGCCCTCACGAATGCCTTACGAAGGGCAAAATGGACACACGAAGTCAACACGAAAATGAACCTTCACAAGGTCCTTTGGCAATGCTTTGTGATGCCAAAGATGTTGCCACCGCTCCCGAAGTTGCTGCCGGAGCCTGAGAAACTCCACCGGCGGTCATACGATGGCTTAAGATGCCCTCACGAATGCCTCGATGTTGTTACGATCAGAGCCGAATTTGGACATTTCCTTAATCGTGTGTCCATCGGGTGTCAATTTCGGGACAGTGTGACAGGGGCTTTAGAGATGTCCCGCCCCTTAACCTATCACGGACAACGTGTTTGAGAGATAGCCAATAGAAGTGTGAGTGTTACGTAGTGATGTCACTATGTCGCAAATAAACCTTGATACACACTACAC